TTATAAGAATTTTAATAGTAAGGGCTTATATAAAGGAGATATAGACTTTAAGCTAGTTTATTTTATCCTTATATAAATATAGTTAATATATATCTTCCGTTTAAACTTCTTAAGGAATTTAGTTATATTTTTACTATTAAATTTACTAATAAGTAAGAGTTATAATTAATAGAGTCTTCCTATAAAGTTATCTTAGCTTTTAGTAAGTATATCTCTAAGTCTATTAGTAATCTTATTAATATATACCTTAATTTTCTTTATATTACTAGTAGTAAGATTAGATAATCCCTCTTAATAGCTAGCGTTTCTAGATATAGTATACCTATAGATTATAAGGTTATAAAATTTAAAGTTAGAGTTTTTAGAGTTAAAAGATATCTTATTATAACTATCTTATTACTTACTTTCTTATTTATTAGTAAGAAGTAAGCGTTCTCTATAAGCTACTATATAGAGGAGAGCTAAGGTTAAGGTTATTAAGGTATCCCTTATTAGTACTTATATTAGTATTATTAGTATATATATAAGTAAGATATCTTAGTAGGGTTTTAAAATAGTTTAGATTACGCTATTATCGTTATTTATATCTTTTAAAGTATTATATAAGGATTATAGTTTCTTAACTAAGTCGCTAGTATTAAGGGTTATAAGGCTAATAATAAGAGCTTAGGGTTTTTTAGTATTACCTTATTACTTTTCCTTTACTATTAGTAAAGGCATTATCTAATTATTTATTTCCTAGTAAGTTTATCGCCTTATTAAGTCTCTAACTCTAGCTATTAAGGTAGTTACTACTTTAATTATTAAATCCCTAGATTTTATTTTTTCTAAAAAATACCGCTATCCTTTAAATATTCTTAACTTTATAAAGCTACTTATTACTATATAAATAAAATAGAATAATAAGTTTACGCCTTAAAGACTAGTTTTAATAAGGATAAAGGTATATACTTAAAGTACGCGTAGTATATAGCTAAGGATTAGTAAAGTAATTAACTATATAATTATCTAAACGTTAATCCTATATATAGCCCTAAGGGTCTTAGGTTATAAATATAAGTCTTAGAGATTTCTTTACTTTATACCTCTTTATCTCTATTAAAGTCGCTTAACTAACGGCCTTTACTTTAAAAGGGAAAAATAAAAATTTAAATTAACTATAATTAAAGAAAGTACGTCCTTAGATAATTAAGGTCTTTATAAAGCCTTTAAGTATACTTAGAAGTAAGTTAGATAGGGAGTACTAAGGGTCTTATCCTTTTAACGGGCTAATATTTATAAGGGTACGATCTTACCTATTAAAGTACGCCTAATATCCCTTAGTATATCTTTTAAGACGAGGAGCTTTAACGCCTATAGGACTAGCTAGTAGTATAGGATAGTACGTATATAAGCGTACGCCGCGCTATAGAGGTAAGGGCGCGCTCCCTTAACTACGGCCTTAGGTTAAAAGTCTAAGTAAGCGACTACTATATCGACCCTTATAGCTACCTTCGCTATAAGGGCAAGCTATAGGTCCTAGGCGCGCCGGCGATAATAAAGGCTATAGCTAGGGCGGCCCCTTTAAAAGTTAAGGAGCGGGATAGGTTAAGAGGGCGGTTTATATAGATAATCTATAACTTAAGCGTAATCGGCTATCTTAGCCGTAAGGGCACGCTAGTAGCGATTAGCTAGGACTTCTACTAGCTATTTATAGTACTATATATCCGCTATTTCCTCTATAACTATAATATCTATAGCCGCTTAAAGATCTAATTAGCGCTTAAGAGGGGGCTATTAAAGTTACTACTAGTCCTTAACTAGTTTTATATATATATATAGATAGACTTTATTATAGACCTCTCTCTTATAGTAAGCGGTAACTATTATCTCTAAGTAATTAAGGACTATCTAAGTAAAGAGGTAGTACTAAAGCTAATATTATTTATAAAAGTAAAGGCTTATATTAAGCGCTTCCTTTAGTATTACGCTTACTTTTATTAATAGCTAGCCTTAATTACTAGTAATAAGGGTATTAATTAAACTAGCTACTTTTAGTAGTACCTTTATAAGCTACTTTAAGTTACTTAGTTACTAAGTATAGCCTACTACTTATAAACTAATAAGGGGCCTAAACGCCTTAACTAAAAAGTATAAGCTTACCTTTAAAAGGTAATAGCCTATAACTAAGCAGACTAAAATAAGTAGCTTCCTATAGCTTAGATAGCGCTTAATAGTAAGTTAAACTCCTTTATTAGTATATCCTTCTTCCTCGCGCTATATAAGTTTAAACCGCCGTTAGTATAGCCTATTACTATAGATATAGGTATAAAGCGCTACCTAGCTAGCTCCCTAAGAGGCAGGGCGTCTACTTTTATATAGAAGCTATAATAAGTTATAGAGTTCTATTAATTCTTAATAGCGTCTAAATAAGTTAAGGGATCCTATAAATAGGTTCGCGGTAAGGGATAAGGTTTAGCTAAACCTCTATAACTATAGGTTAATAAGGCTAATAAAGAAGCTTAACTAACTATACGCTAAGTATATAGTAAAGAAGGTACTAAGTTTATAGACTATAAAGCTAGAGGGGCTACCCTTTAATATCTACAGTACGATTAATATTAACCTCTTTTATTACGCTGCTATAAACCCCTTACTAGGCTAAGATATAGCGGATCCCTAACTAGCTACTATCTTTATTAAAGGGGAGGAGGAGTTCTTAGTAAAGGAGTTATAGGTAGCCTATTAAAAAAATATAGGCCGCGGTAAGAAGCGCGAAGTCCTTATTAAGTAGCGCGGCTACTAGGACCTAATATAAGAGCTAGCTTCTAAGTTTAAGGGCGCGGTAGCTCTAAATAAGTTTAAGGCCTTTTATAGGCTAGTAAAGTAAAATAATAGCTAGTTAAGAAAAGCTACCCCCTTAGTAGTAAAGCCGCTAGTACCTTAAGACGTAGGGGAGACTATAACTTACTCTTAAGAAAGTAGCGGGGTACTAAGCTCGCGGCGGTCGCTACGTTAGTATAAGCTATAAGTATATATTATAGATACTATAACTATAGATAATCGGTAGGGCGTACTTAGGTCGGCGGTAGTATAAATAAATTATATTAGCCCTTATAGGCGCGCTTAAAGGTATATAGACTAAGCTTAGTAGGCCTTTTTCTTTAGCGGGGTCTTAACTAATAAACGGTTATCCTTATCCTCTTACTTATCCTCCTCCTTATCCTCTTCCTTAGTATAAGGCGCGGCCCTAGCCTCGAGGGCGCGGATCCGGCCCTCTAGGCTACTGTCACGGGCTGTGCCCGGCTGGTGGACCCGGTTGTACCGGGTCCGGTGGGTCGTGCTCCGGTGGCAACACCGGCCCCGCTCCGCGGACCCAGAAGCTGCGAGAACATTCCGAGAAGGGTAATATAAGCTCGCACTCGAGGCTACGCCTCGAGTTCAGCTTCTTTCCTCCTTAGCTCTAGATAGACAACACCTAGGCACCTGCTTGTTGAATAAACTCCGGGCCAGCCTTTCACATATCTAGAGCTCCTTCTAAATACCGCAAGCTGCAGACTGCTCGTCAGGATGGACCAGCAGAGTGAGCCCAAGTCTCCAGCAGCAATGGATTGACCAACGCATTCAAGAAGCGGTCAATGCGACTCTCAGCCCTCTACAGGACCAACTTTCCTTGCTGATGGAGCAACTCGGGCGAGCGCAGCCGCAGAGCGCCGACTTGCAATCGCCGCCAGTGGCACGAGGATTGGGCGAGAGCACGCCTGGCTTGGGCACGCCCCTCCCCAAAACCTGCGGTACTGGAATGCGGAAACCGTTGCCCAACCCACCCAAGTATGACGGCTCACGGAAGAGCTACTCCGCCTGGGCCAGGCAGATGCGAGACAAGCTGGACCTTGATGCACACTACTACAGTGGAAATCGCGAACTTTGGTACCTCATCAACTCATGTTTGGACGAGCGACCACAGCAAGTGGTCGCTACCTTTTACGCCGCGGGAGGCCCTGGGGTAGCTACGACCCCAAGAGTTCATGCGATACCTCGACCGAACCTACCAGGACAGCAACATCCAATCCCGCGCTGCTGCCACGCTGAGAACTATGCGGCAGCGCGAAGACCAACCTCTCGCGTCCTTCCTTCCCCGATTCGAACAGGCATTAGCTGAAGCCGGGGGAGCAGACTGGCCGGACAGTGCAAAGATCGTATTTCTAGAGAACGCAATAAATGCACGCCTCCAAGAGAGTTTGGTCACAGCCGTCCTACCCGACGACTACCAGGGATGGCTTGCGAGAGTTCAGGAAATTGCGGGCAGATTGGAGAGACTGAAACCCGGTAGGCAGCCGACGTCGACTGAGCGGACGCCTCAACAGCTACCAAGGCAACGACCCAAGGAGGAACCGGAGGACCCCGACGGAGATGTTAAGATGACGGACATCAACCGTATTGGCCACGAGTCGAAGGGTCGTCGACATGTCGATAAGAAGCCGAAGGATGAGCGCCGCTGCTATCGCTGTGGTCGGACGGATCATCTTATCGTGGACTGCCCAGCCCAGGTGGTCTTTCCTGGCGAAGGGAAGCAACAGCGACCTAAAGCTGCGCGCATGAAGAAGCCCGATGCCGCAGATGATTCGGAATCAACCGCAGCATCCAGTGAGGACGAGTCGGCGGAAAAGACTAGCCCCGGGGCGAAAGCGGGCGCCGGGGCCTGCAAAGGCAGACATCCGGGACTGGGAAGCGTTCAAGCCACGAATGAATAGTCGGACTGTATTAGTCAACGCGCGGGTAAACCGAGGCTATCGAATACGCGCCCTTGTCGACTGTGGATGTGACTGCTATGCCGTGATCGACGAAGCCCTTGTTCGGAAGCTGCGGATACCCTTCGTCGACTCGAAACCACGAGAAATTGGGGGATTCTCAGAGTCAGCGAAGAGTGTCATATCCCCAGGGTCGTGGCTGTTGTGGTCGAGACAGCTGGATTTGACGAACGTGTCTTTGCATACGTGATCCCAAGCCTGGGCCAGGACATGTTCCTCGGCCGGCCTTGGATGGAGAGAAATCACGTCGTGTACGATGCTGCCAAGCAGCAGATGTACCATGGGAGGGCAGGTGTGACGATACGCCTCATTGGGCAGGAAGAGCCCGCCAAGATACGCGCGATTCGAAGCGCAAGACTCGTGTCGGCAGCCGTATTCACGGCGGAATGTCGACGCGCAAAGAGACGCAAGAAGTGCAACGCGATCTCGATTCATGCAATCAGTTTGTCGGATATAGAGGCGCTTCAGCCGAAGCCGCCAGTCGATCCGAGCGAGAAGGTCCCGGCAGAAGTGCTGAAAGAATTCCGCGACCTATTCTCACCAGGAGAGGCAATGAAGCTGCCGCCACATCGACCGGGTGTGGATCATGAAGTCAACCTGCAGCCTGACAAGAACGGCAACGAGCCACCCTTCCGTGGGGCCCACTCTACAACATGTCACGAGAAGAGCTGTTGGTCTTGCGAAAGACCCTGAAAGACCTGCTGGACAGAGGATTCATCCGAGCGAGTAGCTCAGCGGCTGCCGCGCCGGTGCTGTTCGTGCGGAAGCCGAATGGAGGGCTGCGATTTTGTTGCGACTACCGAGCGCTGAATGCAATCACCAAGCGCGACCGATACCCACTGCCCTCATCGCGGAGACCCTGCAGAATCTGGCCAAGGCTAAGTGGTTCACAAGTTGGACGTGGTGGCCGCTTTCCATAAGATCCGCATGGCTCCGGGACATGGGAAAGACTGCATTTCGCACGAGGTTTGGGCTCTACGAGTGGCTCGTGTGCCCTTTCGGCCTGAGCGGCGCCCCGGCATCATTCCAACGATACATGAACAGTGTATTGCGCGAATGGCTGGACGACTTTGTCACAGCGTACCTGGATGATGTACTGATCTACTCGAGCGGTTCGAAGGCGGATCATGAGGCTAAGGTGCGACGAGTTCTCCAAGCACTCGCCGACGCTGGGCTGCACCTAGACCCAGCGAAGTGCGAGTTTTCGGTACAAGAGGTCAAATACCTTGGGTTCATCGTCAACGCAGGGAAAGGAATCGCCTGCGACCCCGAAAAGCAGCGCGCCATCCGCGAATGGGAGGCCCGACCACGGTGAAGGGTGTCAGAAGCTTTCTGGGCTTCGCCAACTATTACCGGATCTTCATCCCCGACTATGCCAAGATCACGCAGTCTCTGGATGCCCTGCTTAAGAAGGAACTGCCTTTCATTGGGGACGAGCGGAGAACGAGGCGTTTCAGGAGCTGAAGCGACGATTTTGCGAGTCACCGGTGCTCAAGCAGTGGGACCCGAGCCTCCCGACCTTTTGGAGACGGATTGCTCAGGCTACGCATTGGGAGGCGTCCTGTCGCAGGAAGGCCCAGATGGACGTCGACACGCATGCGCCTTCTTCTCGAAGCGACTTTCGCCAGCGGAGTACAACTATCCCATTCACGACAAGGAGATGCTTGCCATCATGAGATGTCTCGACAACTGGAACGCCGAACTTAGGAGCTGCGGCCCATTTACAATCCTTACCGATCACCGCAACCTGGAGTATTTCATGACACGCCAGAAGCTCACGGAACGGCAGAGCCGTTGGGCAGCCGAATTGTCCCAGTTCGACTTCAAGCTCGAGTATCGACCGGGAAGCGAGGCTGTCGTGCCTGATGCGTTGTCCCGCCGTGAACAAGACAAGCCACAGGGCATTGACGACGAGCGGGAACAAGGAAGAATGATACAGTTGATACCGGATAGTGCCATTCCATCATCGACAAGAGCATGTATCAACGCGATGAGTTCTGACTGTTCAGAGGCATCCACCCTGCCGAAGATGAAGGTCTTCGAGGTAGCGGACCTGCAGCAACTCTGGGACGAAACGGTGGCGAAGGACTCGATATTCGGGCAGCCTATAAGGCAGTCCGCGATCGCGAGCGTGCCTTCCCGCCCTCGCTGGGCCTGAAGATCCAGATTTCAGAATGTGCGATCGACGCAGGCAAAAGGCTGACATTCAGAGACCGTATTTGGGTGCCGGGTGGATCCGGAGGAGGTAACCAGGAGGAAGCTGAGAAAGACCAGTTGAGAACCCGCATTGTGCAGCAGTCGCATGACTCTGTTGCGACCGGTCATCCCGGCAGGAAGGTACGCTGGCTATTGTGGCTCGGCGATTCTACTGGCCTGGGCAGTCCCAGCTGGTTCGCCGGTACGTAGCCAATTGCGACACCTGCGGCAGAGAACACATCTGGCGCCAGTCGAAGGGATTTCTCAAGCCTCTGCCGATTCCAGATCGACCCCGAAGCCATTTGTCCATGGACTTCATCACAGATCTGCCGCCTACTGGACCGAGCAAGGCAAGGTACCTGTGGGTGATTGTGGACAGACTGACAAAGGCTGTGACCCTCGAGGTGATGGACAACATGGAAGCTGAGCAGTGTGCAAACCGTTTTCTCCAGTGTCATTACCGATTTCACGGAATGCCACGGTCCATCGTCAGCGACCGCGGGAGCAACTGGCTAAGTAGGTTCTGGAAGAGGTTCTGCCGTCTTGCAGGTGTCACGCAGAAATTGAGCACGGCCTATCATCCTCAGACGGACGGAGGGCCAGAGAGAATGAACCAGGAGATCGAGGCCTACCTGAGAGCCTACGTGTCGTACGTGCAGGACGACTGGGAGAACTGCTCCCTGCCGCGCAGCTGGCACTCAACAATCGTGAATCCGCAGCGACCAAGATCAGCCCCTTTTCGCTGAGCATGGTTACCACGTCGATCCCATCAGCGTCGAGGAATCGGAAGAGCCACCGAGGCATAGAGAGGAAAGCAGAGCTGATAGCCTACTCAGTCGCCTGCAGGAGGTCAATGAGTACATGCAAGCAGTGATGGCCTCCTCACAGCAACAACAAGAAGAGGCTGCCAACGCAAAGCGACAGCCTGCGGAGCGATTTGAAGTTGGTGACAAGGTGTGGCTCTCGATGGCAAACTACAGATCGCCACGACCGTGCAAGAAGCTCGACTGGCTGCATCACAAGTACACAGTCACGAAGGTAATTAGTTCGCACGTTGTTGAGCTCGATGTTCGTGGCTCAATTTACCCGCGATTTCATGTTGACCTTTGCGGCGGGCGCATCAAGATCCGGCTCCTGGCCAAGGTAGATGACGCACAGCCACCACCGGTACAAGATGAGTCCGGCACGAATCTGTGGGATGTCGACGAGATTCTCTGCGCGAGATGGAAGAAGCGGGACGAGGGAATTCAGGCAAGCACTAGTGCGATGGACGGGCTACGCAGAGCCGACTTGGGAGCCAGTTGAGTGGTTGCAGGAACAATTGCGATGAAGGCATTCGAGGACAAGTACGGGCCAATCAAGACCAATGATGGCCCTAGGGAGAGGTACGAGACGCTGGCAGGAACGCAAGAACCCCGCAGACGCCGACCTGGTCGGAGGGGACAAGGGGGTAATGTCACGGGCTGTGCCCGGCTGGTGAACCCGGTTGTACCGGGTCCGGTGGGTCGTGCTCGGTGGCAACACCGGCGCTCCGCGGACCCAGAAGCTGCGAGAACATTCCGAGAAGGGTAATATAAGCTCGCACTCGAGGCTACGCCTCGAGTTCAGCTTCTTTTCCTCCTTAGCTCTAGATAGACAACACCTAGGCACCTGCTTGTTGAATAAACTCCGGGCCAGCCTTTCACAGCTACCTAGCTAACCGGCGACGGCGGCGGCGGTGCTAGTAGTAGTAGAAGCGGCGGTGGCGGCGGCGGCAAAGGTAGTAGGAGCGGCTAGGGCGGCGGCGATAGTGCCCTTAAGAGAGAGAGAGTTAGCGCTATAGGGAGTATAGGAAAAGGAGCTTATATACTTAGGTATAAGAGCGGCGCGCTTAAGGAACTATAAATTATAGTAGGCGGCGGCGGTAGTAGTTAAGGCGCGCTTAGCCTTATTCTAGTCCTTACCTAGCTCTATAATACTTTAAGCTATAGTAGTATAGGTAAGGACGGGCGGCGTAACCTTATAGGCGCGGCTAGCCTAGGTATATAAAAAGTAGCTACCTTAAGAGCGGCCGGCCTAGTCGGCGTAAGGGAGGGGCTATAAAGTATACTATATATAAGAGGAACCTTAGGTAGCGCCCTAAGCTATAGCGCGCTTATACTAGTATAAGGAGTTAGTAATACTTATAAGAATAAAGGTAAAGGGGCTTATAAAAGAGGGCGGCGAGGACTTATACTTATTATTATCGTTATTATCGTTATTATTATCGTCGTTATTATCGCGGCGGCCGGTAGCGGAGAGCGTAGCGGGGGCGGCGGTAGCGCGGGTAGTAAAGTTAACGGCCGAGAAGCTAGGTAGTAGGTAGCGCGGAGCGGCGGTAGGCGCGACTAAGGCGGCGGGGGCAGTAGGTAGGGTAGTAAGCGAGGCGAGGGCGCGATTAATAAAGTTATTAATCTTAGTAAAGAAGTAAGATAAGGTAAGGGAGGATATATTAAATTATTTAAATAACTAGTAAGGGTATAGGTTAGCTTATATATAGGCGGTAGTATATAGCTAAGCGCTAGGAGACTTATAGTTATAATTATAGCTACTATTATTAATACTAATAATAATAATATAGTTAAGAGGAAAGAGTAATAAGGGCGCGCTAGTAGGTTATTTACCTCCTAGCTACGCGCTAAGGTATAGGATTAACGTTATAAGGGACCGCTTATAGAGAGAGGGGTAGGGACCTTATATAAGGGTACTTACCTTTAGTATAGGTCTAGGTATTAGCCTAAACCTTAGCCGATAGCGTTATAGGGTAGGGTAAGCTATATATATAAATACGTATTTAGTAGTAGTAAGCGCGGCGTATAGTTAGATCTTATATAGCTTATTATTATAATATAATAAAAAGCACCTATAGTATAACCCTCTACCTACCTTATAATATAGGCCTAGGGTAAAGGTTAAAGCTAACTTATATTATTTATATAGGTATATTAATAGTTATAATACTACTTAGAGTAATATAGTATTATACTAAATAAGAGCTATTAATATATAACGACTAGTATTATTTTAAAGGGATAAACCTATTAAGGGGTTTATATTAGTAGATATAATAAGGTATAGTCTAAGTAATAATAAGTATATTATATTAGTAATTTTACTATTATAAAGAAATAATAAGTATAAGGAGGCTCTATAAAATAAGCTAGTAAAAAGAGGCTCTATAATATAATCTAAGGGAATAACCTTTAAAGATAAAGACCTTTACTAGATATTTATACCTTCTTTTAAGAAAAGTAGGTTAAGATAAGCCTATCTTAATAAAATAAAATATATATAAAATATATAAGTTAATTATAAGTAGAACGGATACCCTATTACCTATTTTAGCCTAGCGGTTCTAAAGATATCCGCGATACGAGAATAGGTAGGGCATAGAACATTCTAGTTAAATCTACTACTTATACTAGAACCTATAGTCTTATATTAACTATTATATTATAATTAGACTACCTACTAAGTTAGGAGGATATACTATAGATAAAGCTTTTTAGGTACTATAGAATATACTAGAAAGCTAACTAATTAGTCTATTAGTAAGCGAGCAATAGTCTATAAAAGATAAAGAATTTCCTTAGGAGTAGTAGATAAAATAAGTAAGTTTAAAAGTATCTTTTATAACGCTATTCTTTTAATATATTATTTAGCCCCTTATATACTCGTTATAAATTCCGGACGAAATCCTACCCTATACTTCTTCGACTAATCTTTCGGCTTTTATTATTAATTACCCGATCCTATACTTATTACTTATACCTTCTTAAAATTAGTAATAAGTTAAAAGTTATAGACTATAGACTATAACTAAGTAATTAAGTAATTAAAATTAAAGATAAGATTATAATAAAGATCGTAATAATTATAATATATTAAAAGCTATTAAGCTATTTATTTAAAGGAGTATTCCGTTCCTTCTTTATATATCTTAAGAGCTTCCTTAGATCGCTAAGAGCACTAAGTAATCCTATCGCCTAGGAGCGCTAGAGCGCTAGAGCGATCCTATAATCCTAGCCTTAGAGCGTTAGAGTACTAAAGTAACCTATCGCTCTAAACTTAATTAGCCTATTAGTTTATTTAATATTCCTTGCTCCCTAGATTATATATCCTTATAATATATACTAGTCCCCGCTATTTACTAGACCGTAGTTATAATATCTACTCCCTTTTATATAAGGCTATATAGGTACTTTCTTTTACTATAGTTATATTATATTAGCGGCCTTTTTATATCTTAGCTGCTTTCTTAGTCGCTATAGGTATATATCCTATTTATATAGTAGCTACTACTATATATAAAGGAACGCCGATAAAGCCTATAAAGGTATTACCAAGATTATATATTACTAAAGTTACTATTATTAAACCTAACTTCTTTTCTATCTTAGTATATATACCCTTTATAAGAATATACCCTTATATTCCTATTTTACTATTATAAAGAAATAATAGGCATAGGGAGGCTTTATAGAATAAGCTAGTAAAAAGAGGCTCTATAATACAGTCTAAGGGTCTACTAGATAACTATACCTTCCTCTAGGAAAGGCGGGTCAGATAAGCCTATCCTTACAAACAAAATATGCATAAAATGCATAAGTCAATTACGAGCAGAACGGATACCCTATTGCCTATTTTGGCCTAGCGGTTCCGAAGATATCCGCGATACGAGAATAGGTGGGGCATAGAACATTCTGGTTAAATCCACTACTTATACCAGAACCCATAGTCTTACGTCAACCATCACGCCACAATCAGACCACCTACTAAGTTAGGAAGATATACTATAGATAGAGCTTTTTAAGCACTATAGAATGTGCGAGAAAGCTGACTAATTGGTCTACTAGTGGGCGAGCAATGGTCTATAAAAGACGAAGGATTTCCCTAGGAGTAGTAGATAGAACAAGCAAGTTAGCAAGCATCTTTTGCAACGCTATTCTTTCAATATATTATTCATATGCTCGTTATAAATTCCGGACGAAATCCTACCCTATACTCCTTCGACCGATCTTTCCGCTTACGTTATCGATTACCCGATTCTGCGCTTATTACTTATACCTTCTTACACCCTTTTACTACTTAAAGTATATTTACCCGCGCTTCTTAGCGTAGGTACTTTAAAAACTAATAGGATTTACTACTATAGCTTATATAGCGACCCTCCTATTACTACTTCTTCTTATCCTTAGTCCTTAAGGTAAAGATAGAGATATTTATAGTATTATTTATATTATCTTCTTTTTATATTATAAAAGAAGATAAAAAAAACCTTATTACTATTAAGCTTATAAAGAAAGCGGATAAGATTAGTATATATATCTAGTAATATAGATCTTTTACTTAAATAAGTATACTAATCTATATTTAAGCTTATAATAAGGTAATTTTACTTTATTATATTAGGCTAGCTATATACGTTTACTTAATAAAGTACCTCTTTAAACTATATAAGGTAGGCCGAAATAGCTTTACTTTACTTTTAATAGAGTATTATAAGCTCTTAGCCTATTAAGTTAGCTATATTAACTTCGCTATAATTAATATAGAACTTATTAAAGAGGTCGGCTAGTCTATTTATACTAGTATATATAAATAGTAAGAGATACCTTTATAGGTATAGGGATAGGCTTATATAAAGATAGTTAAATTAAGCGTAGATATCCCTTATTATAGCGCTATTAGTATAGAACTTCGCTTTTATATAAAGTAGCTATAGCTCGAGCTCTATAAAGGAGCTATTAAACTTACTAAAGAATAATAGTACCGCTCTTAGTTATATAGAGCCCTATTATTATAAGAGGCTCTTAATTACCTAGGCGAACTAAGTATTATATTCGCTTTAATTTTATAACTATATAAATATAGATATTTTATATATATATATACTAGCGCGGGCGGTTTAACTAAACTAGGTAATTAAACGTTAGCTTTAAAGGTAGCTAAAAATAGTTATTTTATATATAGGGATATAAAGAGGGTAAAATAAAAGGTAGATTATACTATTATAAAGTAGGTATAAGTATAGGCTTAGGTATAGTCCGTTAAAAGAAGGTTAATAATCTATAAGGAGAAAAAAAAAGAAAAGTATAAGCTTAGCCTATATAAGTATAGAGGCCGCTTATATATAGACTTAGCCTAGACCTTAGTCTAGGCTTATATAAGGTAAAAGCCCTTATACCTAGCTACCTAAGCTGCCCTAAGATATTAATCTTATTAAAGGTCTTAGCCTTTATAATAAAGATATCGAGGATAAGGATCTTAAGGAGGTTAGGGACGCTTTAGGCTACTAGCTTAGTTTAGCTAGTAAGGAGGTTAGCCGATTTAATAGGTAACCCCTTAAAGTATAAGGACTAGTTATTACGCTACTTTAAAAGCTTCTTTATTATATAAGAGGCCTTTATTATTATAACTATATTACCCTTATTTAAAATTAATAGGGCTAATATAGCTAGTTCCCTTATAGCCTTATTAAGATTATTATAAAGAGCAATAGGGCTAATAATTAGGATTAATAATTCTTTCTTTAGCTTTAAGATAAGCTAGAAGTCTTCTTTTATATTTCTCTTAGCTAGGGGCTTAGCTAAGGCCTTAGCCGGGGCCTTAGGCGCCTTCTTTATAGTAACCTTAGCTTATAAGCTAGCTTTAAGATTTCCCTAAGTAGCTTTAAGCTACTAAGCGGCCTTAGGCTATTATAGGGGCTATTATAAGAGCTATTAGCGGTCCGAGGTCCCTATAGCTGCCTTCTTAAGACCTTTTATAAGGGTCTTATAAACGGGTTTAATTTTTTAGGCTTCCTTAAGAGCCTAGAAGGCCTATTAAAGGAAGCCCTAGGCCCGATCTTTAAGAAAGGGGTACTAAGGCTAGGTCTAAGTCTACTACTACTATAAGTATTAAAGTATAAGTTAGATAGGCGTAAAGCTAATAGGGCTACTAAGAGTAGCTCTCTTTTACCCTTTACTTTAAAAGCTAGTTAGGCTAAAAGTAGCTAGCTTAAGGTAGGGCTAGGCTAAGCCTAAAGAGGCTAGTCTTTAATATAATAAGCTTAGTATTATCTTTTATCTTAGTATCTTCTTAGTCTTAGTCTTAGGCCTTAGGCCTTTCTTCTAAGGTCTTTAAAGGGCGTTAGCCTTTTAAAGCTTCTTTTAAGCGGGCCCTAGCCTCTAAGGTACTTATTTTAGCCCTTAAGTTAAGAGGGGGGGGGGGTTAAAGGGGTCCGCCTTAGGCCTAGGCCGGGGTCCTAGGTCCGGGCTAGGTTCTATTAGTAAGGGGCGTATAGCTTTAGTTAGTAAGGGCAAGGAAAAGATTTCTACCTATATAAAAGAAAACCTTACTTTATTTATAATCTTTAGTAGTATATTATATACCTACTAGTAGCTATATAAGGCTATACTTAGGAGGGCGTAATTATAAGAGCTTTTACCTTATATAGGCCTAAACTAAGGTCTAGGCTAAGTCTATATATAAGCGGCCTCTATGCCTATATAGGCTAGGCCTATACTTCTCTTCCTTTTCCCCCTCGTAGATTATTAACCTTCTTTTAACGGACCGTACCTAAGCCTACGCCTCTACCTACTCCGTGATAGTAATATACTATTCGCGAGGGTTCTAAGCATATACTTTTTTTATATTTTAGGCTTAGTTTCGAAAAGTTAGCTAAAAAGATATAATAATGTTTTTTAAGTTATACCGCTATATAGTTAGTTATATTAAAGAATAATTAAGTTTTATATATATATTTTAAAAATAAGGCATAGCCGCTTTATATATATATTCTCGCCGTGTATTTAACATCGCTATATTATCCCCCTTTTATAGCGCATCCAACGATTCCAGACTTCTCAGGATTCAATTCGACAGCGTCCTAGCAGACCCCGGTCATGCAGTCGACATGTTTTGCCACCAGCTAACCCACTTACGCACTATACAAGGGCACCGTGGTCGATCTTCTCACCTAAGGCGATCAAGTCTGCCGTCTGGGCTCCACCTATAGATAGTTTCGGGGTCCGCGATTGATGGTACAAAGAATTGGCTTCATACATCACAGGTATGTAAAAGTGATCGGACGTGTGCTGAACAGTATATCGACTGGCAGCGCTCACAGTCACCAATGTCGATCGCAGTGGCGCTTGGGCACTCCGCAATAGCGCAGTCCCGGAATCTGAACATAACTGCTGTGACGGCCAAAGACCGACGACCACAATGGCAGTGGAAACCGGTGTTGGAGGTTATAGTGATGACGGAGAGTACTAGAGTTGGCAAGTGTGCAACGTGCGGCCACCGTGGACCGCTCTCCCTTCCATTTGCCTGCCGCTCGACTGGCAATGATTTAATAAAAGTGTCTGGTAAGAATTGGACGCCTGCATACTGTAAAGAGCGATTTGACACTCCTACGAAGTTTTCGAAGTAGGTTCGGGAGTCACCCCGAAACGCGAGGCAGCAGCGGAAAGCGGAGGTGCGTTGGTGGCGGCTACTATACATAAAAAGCCCAAGCCTGGCCCAATACCCAACAGACATGGTTTGATATCATTGAGTTGTGCGTTGGTTGCTCAATACTGAAGTTGACAGGCCTCGTTATAATCGGTTCAGGCTCGGTTATATCAAGGGATCAAAGGGGATAACGTCGAACGGTTGAGCGAAAAGTGTATCTGAAAAATGGCCCGACACTCTTCCGGTATCGTCAGGAATCCATCTCAGAGGGTTCTTAAGTAGACAAGATACAAACTGATACAAACTTGATCCCAGTCCAAGTCCTAATTCAAGTCCGCTAGCATTATGAACGCTAGCAAGCGTTGATTTTGACTCTTCGGACAATCGATCATTCTAACAACTCTTGAGTTCGTCTGTTGAATGTGCCATGCGCTTGGTGCCAAGCCTATGTAGAGCTGTGCCGGGGATACGGGGCGATGATACGAGAGCAGTCCACTCTCCCCATGACAAGGCCCGTTGTCTGGAGTACGGGGCCGAGGATACGTAAGGTGAAGCTAGGGACAGTGCACGATACCTGTTCGATGACGAGCGGCTCCGAAACAGGTCGATTGAACCCAGGGCGGGACTCTAGGCGCTTACTGTCAAAACCCCATTTAGAATACGTCTATTTTGGATCGTTCGTAGGGACATGCTTGGATATCAAGTCGAATCGCTAACAAGCCATGGCACGGCGAGGTAACAAGGGTAGATTGCGCTTTTCCGCTCTGGCCCGCAATAATGAACGATCAACTATACAAAGAGCCAAGTCAATGGACCAACCGAGACCCTTGGTATCCCAACAAGCCACAGGTACGAATGCCAGCATTTCGCGTGTATATCGGTGATAAGGCTCGAAGGGTCGATGGCGTTTATTTCTCGGTACCATGGCGCAAGTGTAGATGACAGGATAAAGTATTATGGATGGATGGGGATGGAGCGATGGATCAGGAGGCAAGGCTTACGCGAGAACAGACAAATATTATAAAGCCACCGTCTAACTGGAGACAGACTCGAATGCGAAAAAAGTGGACTCTGAGACTCAAATCTCGTAAACGCCTTCAGTCATAGTACCTTAAGACCTCTTGTCGCCGTTTAGCTGTTGCTTCTCACGCGTCGACTACCAATGGCGGATTTCGCCGGGCTTTATGCAAAGAGGTCGTAATTTATATGCTTATAGACTCTAGGTGGTGGAAAGGCTTTGAAAGTGTGTTTTACCGTAGTACACTAGAGACCCTTGGGATCCTCCACTTTACATTGGAGATCAACCAATCTTCTTCAGCTCGACGTCGCTGTTGCAGGCAAAGAAATCAGCAAGTGTTGATGGTCAACGGGGAAAAATAACAGCTTACAAGATCAAGCTCGAGTTGGGCGGGATAGCTCCAGGGAAGCCTCTGTGGTACAGCTTGTCAGCCATGATGCGCCGCTCTTATCAGGGGTCGCCAGCACGCACCGAGCGCCATAGCCATAGTCGGCGGTGATGTCGAGAGTCGCCTTTTCGCCGAGCTTCATCTGCGTGACGCCCTCGTCCCAGCCTGGAATTACAATCGATGTCAGCAATTGGTCGAGTAATGGCTGGTGCTGAACTGTACCCTTGATGACCTTGCCTGTGCCAATCGGGACGACAAAGTCGCCGCGTCCGACTGAGGAGTCAAACCTGAAGAGAGAGGGAGAGCGAGCAGGTCAGCGACAGATCTGCAACGTCCTGATGATGGCGGCGTACTGTGATCCCTTCTTGTCGGGCTTGGACTCGTCCTTCAGCCAGCCAGTGTACTCGATGGTGACGTTCTGGCCGACGGTCGGCACGGGGCCGTTGCCCTCCTTGATGACAGTCTTGGAGACACCCATGATGAGCCTTGTGTATTCGGCCGAGGGATTCGAGATCAGAGGGTTTGCTGGTGGACTGGAATTGTGACGCGTATTGTGCAAAGTTTGATGGCAGACAGCGTTTGGAGGGGTTCAGAGTGGGGTAATATATGAGGACCGCAATTATGTCATAGACGACCCCGCCTTGGATGCTGGATGCAGTTAAGAGGCTTTATTATGCGATCACGTGCCGGGCAATCATTCCTCACCATCGGCTTGAGAGTTGAGACGTGGACAAAATCTAGAGCATCCTGTGCTTTGCTCGGCGAGTGAACGCCGTGAACAACAAAGCATAGAACTCGTCTCGAGCATGGTATAGTTGAGCAGCCCGTCGACTTCTCCCTTGTCATGTCCAGCGCAGACAGCAACGCCCCCAAGGACGTCGTAATCCGCAAGCTCGTCACGGGCCTGTTCAAACTACCCGAGAGTAACCATACAATGGGTTGAAATGACGGCGTGGCTCCACACTCTGGGGCTATAAAACAGAGTGCGTTGCTATACACATGGTGGGAGACGCGTGCCTCCTGGAGACGCATGCCGGTTGCAACAGACCGAGTCGAGATGAGCAACTCAACCCCCTCTCCACCCCCTCCTTCGAGGAAACTCGAGACAGTGCCCTAGGGAAAGCGATTGATGGCTTACGGAGCTCCCAGTGTACTATTTGCGCTGTATCGTCTTGATACTTCAGGCCAAGCGTCAACAAGATGGAGCATTCATGGTATGGTATCAAAGTGAGAACTGGCCACAAATCGGAACTTTGAACAAATTCCATTACTTCTTTTAGCCAAGACTCAAAGAGGAAATCCCAAGAGCCCCTAGTCTACCGACAAGTGTAGCCACCGTCGATGACTATGTCATTACCGGTTGTATAGGTACTGGCGTCCGAGGCGAGGTAAACGTAGGCTCCCTTGAGCTCAACGGCGGTCCCATTGCGACCCATGGGGATCATGCTCCTCCAAAGTTCCTGAGTCTTGGGGTCGATGAAGTCGGATAGGCCCGTGTCGATGTATCCCGGCGAGATGCTGTTGACACGGGCAAAGTCGCGCCACTCGTTGGCGAGCGAGCGGGCCAAGTGGATGCAGCCAGCCTTGGCCACGTTGTACGAGGTCTGTTCTTGGGGATAGTTGGCGATATGGCCCGACATGGAGGCGGTGATGATGAAGGAGCCGGTGCCACGCTTCTTGAAGTGGGCGCCGACGACCTTGGCGCTGTAGGCCACCGAGTTCAAGTCCACCTGGATGACCTTGTCCCAGGCCTCGTGGGACCCGTCAATGACGCCTGCATCGGCCGTTGCACCAGCACTGGAGAGGTTGTCAGCAATCTAGGGTCTTCCAATGTGAAGCCTGCGCACGGGGCTAGATGAACAACGTACTTGGCGATGAAGGCGTCAATCTGGCCAAATTCCTTGATGACCTCGTTGACGAAACGCTCGACGTCGTTAAAGTCGGCGACATTGCACTTGTAGGCCTTAGCCTTGACGCCGTATTCCTTGACGAGCTCCTGAACATTCTTCTCGGCGCCCTCCTTGCGTGACGCGTAGGTAATGGCAACGGCAGCTCCCATCTCGGCGCACCCACGGGCAGCTTCAATGCCCATGCCGCGGGGGCCGGATGCGCCGGTGACGACGACGACCTTGCCCTTGAGGCTGAGGAGGTCGGTGAGACGAGTGGCCTTGGGAGCTAGCTGAGGCATGATGGCGACTGCGACGAATGCTGTTCTGCGGAGGAGGAGGAAGAGTCACTTCGAGCGAAGAGACGATTTGGAATGGAGGCAATGTAGGGACGAGAGGAAGCAGACGGCGAGGAGAGCGGGGGAGGGGGAAAGATAAGCTTCCGAGATCCGGCTTCTTCAGCTCGTGAAAAATGCCGCTAGACAAGGAGCGGCACACAGGCAAGCAGTACACGTGTCGGTAGGTACTCGGGTAGTTTACGGACGTGTGCGTTCGAGCTGGCATCAAGCTGAGCTGCTACTACGTTCGGAGCACACGGCGGCGGAGCGAAGACTCACGGGCCCACCAATGTCGTCACTTACACGGCGCGAGGGAGAGAAAAGCCAATGGCCGGGACACATGTTGTCACCGAGTGGATGTATGTGCATGGGTGATTAGATATGCATGTCGCTTTCGGACAGTCGCTTTGACCATCTGGAGCACGTTGAGGCATTAATGGCTCTTCAAGACATTGGGCCCTGATCGACGCGCAGAGCTGCTTGAGATCCGAGGGATGTCTCACCCTGTTTTTTGCCCCGCCGGCTGACGCTGTGGTACTCTCATCTTGCAGCTTACCTTGCACAAACGTAACATACCTGTCGGACTCTGGAAACAGCGGAGCCCGATTGCAAAGTTTATTCTGTTAGTCCTGTAGGGGCGGAGGCGGAAGCAGGAGCGGCGCTTTGTTCCGAATTCGGCGGGATGGTCGAGGACGGAACGGGGCGGAGGGCAGTTATACCTGCTGCTTGCTACTGGCTGGTCCGAGTCCCCTGTTTAAGTCTCAAGGCCGCAGGCGGAAGGGATCTGGACATGCCAGGCAGTTTCTGAGCGCGGCCGAAGATGCAGAGATCAGCTCGTGTTTCATTGCCCTGACATGGACACATGAGGCTCCAACACATGGCGTTCTCCCGACATTCGTGATGGCGGGACCGAGGTGGAGATGGCCGCCCTCAGACTCGGTGCAGCTGGCAACCAACATATGTTTTCGCTTCAAGGCAAAGTATCGCCTACCGTCGGCCGATCCAGGTTGGGCCAGTAATCTTTCAGCCCGTTGCAACGTGCTGGGCGCGGCAGACAGGCTTCCAGCAAAACGAAGCCAGCTTGGTTAACATTAATGTAGCCACACTAGGTTTCGCGCTCACCGACGGTCGCACATCAAACGCCAATTGTGCCATGAGGTTGCGGTCAAGGCCGTTACTGCGGCCGTCTCGCTGCATGCCGTCATACAGCACCTTATTTTTATTACTCATTTTCGACATTTCGTTCTGGTCAACGATATCTTGTCTTGTTATTCCGTGGTCGTGGACCAATGCGCTGGCCTGTGCTTACCGAGATGAGCGTCGGAGAACTTCTTGGAGAAAAAATATGTTCAGAGACACACACCATCCTCGAGCCGAGCCGCGCACGTACAAGGGTCGTGATTCAAGACGAGAATTCAGACTGACCAAAAAAATTATGACAATTCTCACTTTGTAGAGAATAATGGAATACAGTGTGTGCGTACAAGCAGGGGCAGTTGAGGGCAAGGGCTTCTTTCGCATGGAACCTTGACCGAAAATTTGAGGTACGAACTGCAACCGCTGTTATCTCTACTGCGGGGAGAATAACTGCCTCTCAACACCAAAGGCACGTCAGACGTCTCTACAGGTCATTAATTGTCAAAACCGAACGCTGCACAAGGCTGACACTCTCGATGAGGAGTCTTGGACTTGAACTAGCTAGCTACCATCCATGAGCCCGGAAACGATGAGCAGCTGACCGCCATAGTATAAGATCCAAACCGCATACTGCATCCAAACGTGATGCTTCGAGTCTGCAGGAAGCAGAAACTCCTCTGCCCCGAGCAAGCAGTCGGACAGGGCAAACAGGGTGGCGCCAGTGACCGTATGCTGGTGGGCAATAGTAAGCGCCGCAAATATCACGCAAAGCGAGACCGCCGAGTATACAGCAATTGGCAAACGTAGAGAAGGTCCGACTCTCGGTACCAGCACAAAGCCCATTATTGGTGCCAGTGCCAGCATGACAACGCCGAGAAGCTGTCGCCAACCCTCAGCCAGCACCAACTCCTTGCCATCGCCGAAACCTGCGAACAGTCGAACGTAGAACAGGTGGGCTATCAGAAAGCTGCCTAGGCCGCGGAGAAAGGCCGCTTCGCCGGGCCAAGCAAGGAATGCATCCCCAACCGCGCCGAAGGCTAGAGCTGCCACGAGCAGCCATGACTTCCCGTTTAGAGCGCAGAGCAGGGATAACGAAGCCGTTGACGTCGCCTTGAGAGTCGTGCGCAAGGAGTCCGACGGGGTGCGAATCCGCAAGCCGTAGAGAATGGCGGTGCTGAGTGATATTATCAGTATGGTGATGTCGAATGGGCCAAAACCCTGGAATGTCTTCATGTTGATGGGATGCCGACGAGTCGCGCCGCGCCACTTTCAGCTAAGTGCTAATGCACTGTCACGGCAAGTGAGGGCAATCAACACTCTTCTGGGGATGTCCTTGGCTGACTTTTAGCCTTGAGCTTGTGGCACGTCTTCTGTATTCGGCGTTTTTCGCGGCGAGAATGCACCAGATTCGTAGTTGAGATGTGAAGCAGAAATACAAGGCTCGGACGAGAACTTGTCGGCTTGCGGGATAGTGGCTCATGAGACTTCTCGAGGGTGGGAAGAGCGCGTCCTCTCGCTCTGTGTCGGCCAGCAACCCCAAGTGATTTCATGTGTAAAGTGCGCACTGGGGTTGCGTTGCACCGAGGCCGAGGATAAGGCGGTGGCGGAGAATGTGTCTTATGCATGTGACCGGGATTTTCAAACCTCCAGATCGTCGTCCGCAATCGAGGTTAATTCAGTACATTGCAAATCCGCCGCTTGCTGATACGACCTGCCCTGTAACCCAACGACTCTCTTCACTTGCCAACCACGCATCTATTTGAGCAATGTCGTCCGACGTTCCGACGCGCTTCTGCATTGGCGTTTGCAAGTTCTTTTGGAATGTTGTCCAGCATGTCGCTAGGGGTGATAGACGAAGGTGAAGATTTTGAAGATTTTGAATGAAGGATGAATCAAATGAATTGAATTTTTTGGATCTTGATTCAAAATCTTCAAGCTCCAATTTTCGCGATTCAAGTTGGGTTTGGGCCAATTCAGGCCATTCATGAATGGTTTGAAGGGATCCCCTAAACGAAGTGAATTTGGTGTGTACCTGAGCGATTGCAAAGATGCCTCAAAAACGCCAATAAGTAGTATATACCATGCCCCACCCCCCTTTCGGTAACACCCACCTTTCGGTAGCGCATTAGGAAATATCCCCACCAAAACCCATCAATTTCACTTACACCGATTCCAGCCAGCTTTGAAGATATTCACAAGCCGTCACTTGGAGTAGATAGAGGATTGAGATTCTACTTTTCGATGGTTGAATGTTTGTACAGGGGTCTGTGGCCTGTGCGTACCTTGCACGCGAAATTACCATCCAACCCCCTAATCTCCTTCCGCCTCCTGACGATGATTCTTCTCGTTATTCCTCCACCACATGACCAAAATGACCTTAAAGCGGCCTCGGAGTATTTATACGGAGGATATTATAGCTAATGCGATAATTGATGTCACAAAAACGGCTTGTCGCAGTACCGCGCAAAAGTATGACATACCTCAGCAGTCTATTTCCGACAGACTCAAAGGCCAGGTAGCCCTGGCTGATCAGATCCAGCCTCGTCAACTCTTGAGTAAGTCTCAGGAAGCTCGCTTGGTTTCTTGGATCCTCCGCCAAGAGTCTCTCGGCTATGCTCCCTCACAGTCAGATCCGCGCATGTGTGGAGGCTCTTGTAAACAACTGAACAACGAGCGGACAGTGGGGCGCTGGGTCTCTAAATTCATCAATCGCCATCCGGACATCAAGAACAAGCGTGGGAGACGTCAGGAAGCTAACCGATTTAATGCTTTTACGCCTCGTGCGGTTCACTGGTTCTTCGATATCAGGAAAGGAGTATGGATGGATTAAACCAGAAAATACCGTGAATGTTGACGAAGGCGGTATTATGTCTGGCTTTGGTGAGTATTTGGCTTGTCTTTCATTACTTTTACTAACCAGACTCTTTTTGCCAGGTTTGGATAGTCTTGTGGTTGGGTGCAGACCAAAACGGAAGGCCCTTCTGAAAGGGCCACAGTCCCGCAACTGGACCTCATTTATTGAAGCTATCACCGCGGACGGCCGTGTCCTTACCCTGGCATTATCTTTAAGGGCAAAGAACTTCAGAAACAGTGGTTCTTGACGGAATTCGGCAAAATAGCCGACTGGCATTATAACGTCGCCCAACGGATGGACGGACAACCATATCGCTATTGAGTGGCAGGAGGGTCTATTTGCCCCAGACGCGACCAGCCGATGCCTCAGATGCTAGACTGATCATATTAGATGGACATGGAAGTCATGCAACGGTGCGTTTCTTTATCCACCTCTGTAGGAATTACCGTTAACCGGGACCAGGATGCATGGATGGCCACATGCTTTTTGAACAACGTTTATTGCTGTTACCTTCCTGCCCACTGCTCTCATGGCCTCCAGCCGTTAGATAACGGTGTATTCAATGCCTCCAAGGCAGCTTACCGGAAAGAACTTCAGAAATTGACCTGTTTGACCGATTCTGCGCCTGTTCATAAGGTCAATTTTATACGGGCATATGCTAAAGCGCGCGAGGTTGGAATGACGGCAAAGAATATATTGTCCGGCTGGAGGGTCACTGGGAATGGCGATCTCACGATCCAAGGCATTGCGGCATCCAGAAATTCGCGGACATTGTAGAGACGTCTCCAAAGTCCGCGCCATTTTGGGTTCTGATGATACGCCAAGAAACAGCCACCAGATTCGCGATTTCGGAAAGAACAAGACTCCTGGCACCCGGAGACGATACGCCGTGATAGCTAGAGGCTTTGAAGCCCAAGAACAGACGCTTGCCGAGCACAGCAACAGAATCGCGAAGCTAGAGGAAGAAGTGGCCCGGCTGCAGAGAGGCAAGAAGAGGAGAGCAATTCCGAACCCGACAGACGGTTCATGACTCTCAGTGAAGCTTTGGTGGCTGAGGAAGCCATTCCCAAATTAAAAGCCAAGAGATAGCCGTTGTGCTGAATTCTGACACAGAGGAGGAGGCGGTCTCAGAGGTGGAGACAGCTTCAGTGATCGAAGTCAAGGTGGCAGAAGCCCTTCCAGTCACCACCAGATCCGGGCGAATGGTAAAAAGCGCCGGTACATATAAGAGCGTCCATTTCTCTACGGAATGATATAATTTTTGTGTTTATAATGTTAAGTTCTGATCATATTTCATGTAGTTCAAATGGTAGACTTTTGGTGGAGAATTTTTCAATTGCGCTACCGAAAGGTGGGTGTTACCGAAAGGGGGGTGGGGCATGGTAGTTTTAAGTTATAGCCTTCTAAGAAGTCGATAATCCCGAATACTACAAAAATTAACTTACATAAATACTGATCCGCCTGTCCTAGGCAAATCGACTGAAAATAAGCACTTTCAAAGCTCTGCCGAATCCTCAAAATACGTCGGTACAACGCGTTCAGATCCGCCACTGTACACGTACACTCTTAGAGCCCCAATCCTCCGAAGCCTCCATTGTATCTAGACAGGGGTTGATATCGCAGACTTATCGGCTTGGGATGCAGGAGGTTTGGGGTAGGGAGTGAGGGCCTCAGTGGGAGGAAGAGGTTGAGGAGGATTCTCGCCTGAACACAGATTAGCATATACCTACATATATAATGAGGTATATCCATACATACCATCTTCCAGCTTGCCCGGAATGTGGTCTGGTCTCCAAATAATACTATTGGCAAAGGGCAGGATGTCATACTCCATGGCCGCCTTGATCAACGCCTGATCGATCTTATCTTCCTGAGTATAAGCACTCCCGTGTTACTCGCACCGTATCTGCCTTCAAGGCGTGACGGCGGATACCGAATTCGTCTCTACAACCGCTGAAGAGGCGTTCCACGTCAACTTCAGAGCCAGAGACAGAGAAGATCACGCGCCGCCGCAGCCAAAAGTGGCCACTCGACCTTGTGTTCTTTCCACCACTTCAGTAGGAAGTCTGGAGACTTTGCAATAGACTCGTCGAACTCTATTCGAGGAGCTGCAAGCCACCGTTCAAGCTCCGAAATAGGGATCGCCGCGCCCGTCTCCGCCTCCTCGCCTTCTTCATTTGGATGGCTCTCCATTGCGCAATGGAGACTTGAGGAGACGCTCAGCTGGCCTGGATTGGCTCATAGTTGAGTTTGTGGCATTCAATGCTGCTAGCTCCGGCCACTCCGTTTTGAAATACTTCTTGACTTTAGCCATAATCTCAGAGTGATCCGGTATCATCATTTCCAATTGGTGAGTTTTATAACGCGGATCCAGGATGTGAGCTGCGAATAGCATCATTTGATCGTCAAGCTTCTTATATAAGTAACGTGTTTTGCTTTGCCCTTCGAGAGGCGTCTCGAATGGACATATCAAGGTCTGTAAAGTCGCCAACTCCTTCGACTACATCATCAAGGAGAGCTTCCAAATCCCAATAGATATCGAGACTTTGTGAGATCGGCGGCATAACTTCGGAGACTTTCAGAGTGTGGTCTTTAAACGGCTTCAGAACCTTCCACAGTTGATAGAGAGCGACAATCTCTTCTGATAAGGGCAGGAGGCACTTGACTTGCGGGTGAGTATCAACGAACTCAGTATACTCTGCCTCAAGCTCGAGGAATTGGTCAATCATGTCGTAGGCCGAATTCCAGCGAGTGTCGACATCGTAGGTTGGCTTCCGGTAGTGCGTGCGCGGCATGCTTTTGAAGTCTTGCTCCCTAGACCCGGATCTCAACATCCAGAGATTGAGGAGGCGGATTTGGCAATCCACTGACTAGAGTCTCCCGGAATGGTGTAGTTGTTGCTTTTATTCTCTTCGTCACTTGTCAAACATCTTCTTGGCTTCCTTCGCTGTGCCTGCTTTGAGATCTTGCAAGACGCCCTCACAAATGAGCGAGGTAATATGAGCTAGACAGCGGATCCAACTCTTCCTGCCGTGAAAGCGCATGCGGGGCCTCCCTATTGGGCTCACCTTGTCGTCGAATTTGGTCTTGAGAGAATCGTACAAAGACTGACAGAGCGTGCCGTTATTGCCGGCGTTGTCTCCCGTAATGGCGAGAAGCTTAGGCTTGAGCCTGAGCTCCTCAAGCGTCCTCTCAACTATCTCAGCTAATTGTTTGCCAGTGTGAGATCTTTTGAGCTCAATAAACTCAATAACTTCTCCTCTCCTCAAACTCCGGTGTAATCCAGTGCGCAATAATGGCGAAAATGGGCACCCGATTCGGTGCTCCAGATATCAAGGGTGAACGAGATGGTGGCACAATTGTACTCAAGCTCAATCTT